AGATTGGGCGGTGCCCGTAGCTCAGTGAGTAGGGTGCCAGCCACATACACCCAGGCTGGCAGGTTTGAATCCGGCCCGGGCCAGGTAAACAACAATAAGAACTGCAACAAAAAAATAGCTGGGTGTTGTGGCAAGCGCCTGTAGTTCCAGCTACTTGGGAGGCTGAGACAAGAGAATCGCTTATGCCCAAGAATTTGAGGTTGCTATGAGCTGTGATGCCACAGCACTCTACTGAGGGTGACATGATGAGACTCTGTCTCAAAAAAAAAATGACAAAAAGATTACAAATTAATGATCTAATGTCACTTCAAGGAACTAGAACAAGAACAAACTAAACCCAAAGCTAGCAGAATATAGGAAATAACAAAGCTCTGAGCATAACTAAATGAAACAAATCCCTACCCCATAAATTACAAAGAATCAAGAAAACAAAAAGTAGGTTCTTTGAAAAGATAAACAAAATCAATAGACCAGTAGTTAAATTAATCAGAAAAAGAAGAAAAAGGACTCAAATAAGCTCAATAAGAAATGAAAAAGAAAACATTATAGCTGATACCACAGAAATACAAAATATCGTCTGTGACTACTATAAAAACTTCTTTGCATACAAATTAGAAAATATAGAGGAAATCTATAAATTTGTGTAAAAGCACAAGCTTCCAAGCTTTACTCTGAAAGACTAAGAAATCTTGAACAGATTAATAATGAGTAGCAAGATTGAACAAGCAATAAAAATCGCCCCTCCAAAAAAAGCTCAAGAACAGTTGGATTCACCGATGAATTCTGTCAGACACACAAAGAACCGGCACCGATTGTACCCAGACTGTTCCATGACATTAAGGGGGGGATCTTCCCTAACTCATTTTACAATGCCAATGTCATCCTGACAGCAAAGCCAGAAAAGGACGCAACAAATAAAGAAAATTACATGCCAGTATCCCTGATGAACATAGATGCAAAAATCCTCAACAAAACACAAGTAAACTGAATCCAATAGCACATCAAAAAGATAATTCAACACGATCAAGTGGATTTCATCCCAGGGATGCATGGAAGATTCAACATATTCAAATAAATAAAGAAAACATGGAGTGCATGGAGTTCTACTCAGACACAAAAAGGAATGAAACAATGTCTTTTGCAGCAATTTGAAAGGGCCTGGAGACCATTATCTGAAGTGAAGTATTTCAGGAATGGAAAAACAAACACCACATGTTCTCACTTATAAGTGGGAGCTAAAGGATGGTTACACATGGTCATAAAATGATGAAATGTCCCTTGTAAACTAAGAAGGGGTCAGAGACAAAAATCTACCTATTAATTACAATGTATAGTATTCTGTGAAGGGTGTACTGAAAGTCCTGACTTTCAGCATGATAAAATTCATCCATGTAACAAAAAAAATCTGTTTCCCCCCAATTAAAAAAAAATTGACAAATAGGTCTATATAAGACTAAAAAGTTTCTGCCTAGCAAGGGAAACAATCAACATTGTGAAGTGACAATCTGTAGAATGGAACTGTACATCCAACAGGGGATTAATGTCCCGAATATACAAGGAACTCAACAACAAAAAAACTGAATAATCCCATTAAGAAATGGACAAAAGGCTCGGCGCCTGTGGCTCAAGCAGCTAAGGCGCCAGCCACATACACCTAAGGTGGTGGGTTCGAATCCCCAGCCTGGGCCCGCCAAACAAC